TTTGTTTTTGTTTTTGTTTTTGTTTTTGTTTTTGTTTTTGTTTTTTGTTTTTATTCTGCTGATGTCAGCGCGAGGAATTTTTCTCATTCCTTTGTGCGGCTCACGTCAGAAGTTGAAGTTTGCTTGTTTACAACTAAAATGGTTGTTTTTCATGCACTTATTCTCAGTTTTTTTCGTGTCATACAATAAACTATTTATTCCACTGCTAGTTGTGTATTACAGCCAGATAATTTTACTCGCCGTATTTTGTCTGTAAAATTATTCGGCTGTAATAAACAACTAGAAGTGTAATAACCTGTATGTGATTCTCGATTATCAACAGTCGTCATTCCCTGGGATGGTCGTGGATGGATCAAAGCAAACACAAACTACAAAGGGTTTTACATCACCAACTACGAAGAGAGCAACTGGAAAGCACTCGCGAAACAGCTGAATGATAATCACACGGTACTGTGAAAGAAACGCATGCGCACAGTTGAATGATAACCACACGGTAAAGTGAACAATACGCATGCGTACAGCTGAAAGATAACCACACGGTAATGTGAACAATACGCATGCGTACAGCTGAATGATAACCACACGGTAATGTGAACAATACGCATGCGTACAGCTGAATGATNGAACAATACGCATGCGTACAGCTGAATGATAACCACACGGTAATGTGAACAATACGCATGCGTACAGCTGAATGATAACCACACGGTAATGTGAATAATACGCATGCGTACAGCTGAATGATAACCGCACGGTAATGTGAACAATACGCATGCGCACAGCTGAATGATAATCACACGGTAATGTGAGCAATACGCATGCGCACAGTTTGGTGATAAATACTAGGTTATAAGGTACACTATGAGAAGTGCTAATCCAATCTTTTTTTGTCATTTGCAGGTGTTCAGTCCTTCTGATAGAGCCGGTCTTCTGATGGATGCATTTAACTTAGCACAGTACGTATTTTATATACTACCGCTTTCCAAGCATAAATACCTTACTAGACTTCCTCGGCTGGGGAGTAATGTTTTCCTATTTCAGAGCATGGGTCATTCCCTAGAATATCATTTCTTTGTTTAACGGTTGCGCATGAGAAGACACATGAATATGGATACAACTCATCAAACAAATTATCTTATTGACATTATTGTTATCTATTGGGAATGACACGTGGTCTGAAATGGGAAAACACTACGCCCGAGCCAAGGAGGTCTATTTACGACCCGCTAAGTAAAAGTACTTTAATATTTCTTCCAACATTCGAAAACATTTCCTCTTATTGTGTTTTCAAAGTGGCAATAAACTCAACTTATCTACAGCCGTCAGTATCACTGAGTACATGACAAAAGAAACAGAATACGTCCCTTGGAAAGTTTTATTTCAACAAGCTGATAAGGTCAAAGATATTTTATCGCAAACAAGTAACTCCTACAAATATTTTATGGTATGTTATATTTCACTTGATTTTTTATTCAAAACAAGAAAATTGTTCGTAAATCACTTTTGCATATCTTCGATTGCATCGCAGCCATGCTGGGTGCCATTTAACATAAGATTTCTTATTATCATCGATTGTCATTACCATGCACCCAACATGGCCGCCATGTCATTGTCATTTGACTCTGTTGGGATTCCTTTTACATCAGCTTTTTTTTCCCTTTCCCACCAGCTTTCCTTTCCCATCAGCTTTCCTTTCCTTTCCTTTCCTTTCCTTTCCTTTCCTTTCGTTTCCTTTCGTTTCCTTTCCTTTTTGATTGCATAGTAGCATGTACATGCTAAAGAAATAGAAGATAATAATATTTATTTTTTAATATAGAAATACCTAGTATTTCTTGGACAAAAGGAATACGATAGACTTGGACTAAACGACGTTGGTGGAACAATAGACAAGTAAGAACACATTAATGAAGTATAGTACTCTTTCTCAATATTCTGCTTAACCTTAACAATTACAATTTCATAATGTTTAAAGAATATCTAGTTATTAATACGAACATGATCTTTAAAAAAGGACATGCTTCTTAACTACAGTGGAAATCTTTATTCACTCAACCAAATATTTGCTACTTTGGAAACGAGCCATTAGACTAACAATTTATTCACTTATTTAAGGTTGCTGCCTACTATGCGCACGCTCCAACGCATCGACATAGACGCCATTATTTGAGCCTACGATGTGCGCGTGCACTAAAACATGCCCGCACTCAAAACCGCGAATCACTTGCAAAATCGTACACACAGGACCATACAAGTTTTGAACTTCAACAGGGGCAAATTCTAAAATTTTGCACGGAACCCTATACCTCGTTTTTACCCCCCGAATTTACAAAAGGGGTTTGTACTCGTTTTAGGACAAAAATTGTCACGAATCAAAAGACAAATAAAATAAAGAAATAATTTTMACTATATTTCTCAACATCTTCCAAATATTTTCCCTTTTTTTAGTAAGATAATGCATGCATATGTTAGGATTTCAAAAAAAATTAAGCCAAAAGCTTGAATACCAGTCATCCACTTTTGTATAGTTGGCAGTCTCCTTATTAAAACCTCTCAAAATCAATAAGCCGGAAAAATTTGGGCATCTTTCAATGAAAAAGAATTAAAAAAAAAAAGAAAAAAAAAAAGAAAGGTTTTCAAAAGCCTCACTAATTTGCAGAAAAGGTATATATGGTTTTGGCGGGGGACGCCAACGAATGCAAATTTTTTCTATATCACTTAACACCACTTATTGAGTTAGTTCAGTTATATTTTGTGTTAAGAGGTTTTTTAATATTTTTTTTTTTATTCCGTAGATATATGAGAAGTGATTTCTTGAAGCTTTTTTGTCAAGCTCAAGTCAAGTCTTGTATCAATAATGCAACAGAAAGTTTCAAGGCGTGGATAAAGAATCCAAAAACTAACTCGTAAGTTACCTTTTTTAATGTTCTCACCATTACCCTTCTGTTCTCTTCTGTTCTGTTCTGTTCTCTCCTGTTCTCTTCTGTTCTGTTCTCT